AATAAATTTACAGACATTTCTAAAATTCTGTTTTCACTTTGTCATTATGGAGTACTGAATTTAGGTTAATGAGAAAAAAATGAATTTCAACAACTGTAGAATCAAGCTGCAGCACAACAAAATTGACAAAAGTGAAGGGGGTCTGAATATTTTCTGAATGCACTGTACATATACATATACATATACATATATACATATACATATACATATACATATACATATACATATACATATACATATACATATACATACTATCTACAGTATCTATCTATCCTAGCTACCTACCTACCTACCTACCTACCTATCATCTGGCTACAACCAGATTCTCTGTTAAGCCATCTTATTTTGCAATCATTATACTGTTCTGAGACAGCTAATCAGTCAGTTCCCATTAAGATGTATAGCATATAGTTTGTATGAAAAAAGATTAGCAAAGTAATAGGGTCATAATTTGATTGACTATTTTTATTTTCCTTTATATTTAGTGAAAGGTTGATGGATTTGCTCCATTCTGATGGAATATGAAAAGTGCAATCTCCTTAATGTAAACTAATTGGCCAAGATAGAAGCCTGTCATTTGACATTAATCTGCAGGGATTAAATCCTGGGGGTTTTGCCTTGCTCCAATTGCATAATCTCGTCTGTTTGAGTTGGAAGCACCAAGGTGCTTCTGGATTGAAAGAATTAGTAGTGGCATCACTGTTGCCTGGGGGACTCCAGGTTTATTTATTTATTTATTTATTATTATATTTCTATACCGCCTTTCTCCCGTAGGACTCAAGGCGGTGTACAGTCAAGAAAAATATAGATACACAAACATCATAAAATTGCTAATTAAAATTATTATTATAACATAGTTTGGCCCAATTAAATAGAACTTAAAATTAGATAACATTTTAAAAACATTCACATGTTCATATGTTTAGCCCCGCCTGTTGGAACATCAGGGTTTTGAGAGCACGGTGGAAAGCACGGAGATCAGGGATATTTCGTATCTCAGGGGGCAGTTCATTCCAAAGGGTTGGAGCCCTCACAGAGAAGGCCCTCCCCCTGGGAGTCGCCAGTCGGCATAATTTGACTGACGGTACCCTGAGTAGTCCCTCCCTGTGAGAACGAACTGGTCAGTGGGACGCTATTGGTGGCAAAAGACAGTCTCGTAGGTACCCAGGTCCTAAGCCATGGAGTGCTTTAAAGGTGATGACTATCACCTTGAATCGCACCCGGAAGACCACCGGGAGCCAGCGTAGCTCGCGTAGAAGAGGTGTTACATGGGTGCAACGAGCTGCGCCCATAATCACCCGCGCGGCTACATTCTGGACCATTTGGAGCTCCGGGTGCTTTTCAAGGGGAGCCCCATGTAGAGAGCATTACAGTAGTCCATATGGGAGGTGACTAGGGCATGAGTGACTGTGCGCAAGGCGTCCTGATCCAGAAAGGGACGCAACTGGCGGATCAGGCGAACCTGATAAAAGGCACCCCTGGCCACGGCCATCAAATGATCTTCTAAAGATAGCCGTGAATCCAGGAGGACACTCAAGTTGTGGGCTCTCTCTGTGGGGAGCCAGATCTCATCCCCAATTGTCAGTGATGGTACCAGCTGACTATACTGGGATGCCAGAAGCCACAGCCACTCGGTCTTGGAGGGGTTGAATCTGAGCTTGTTTCTCCCCATCCAGATCCGCACGGCCTCCAGGCAACGGGACATCACAGCAAGGGCAAGGGTTCGAGGCTCCTTTCATGTCCCTGATAATAAGCCCACCAAAATTGTACCTATTTATCTACTCACTTTTGCACATGTTTGAACTGCAAGTAGGAGCTGGAATGAATGATGGGAGCTCACCCTTTCACCCAGCAGCATTCGGATCTTGAACACAGGCTTGCTGATTGTCAACCCAGTGTTCTAACCAGGTTAGCCATTGAGTTCCAATTGCATAGTAATTTTTAAGGTCTTGGAAAGGACTCTCATCTAGCTTTCTAGATGTCCAAGGTAAACTGAAGTATACATCTAATTGGTGTTGTTACTGGACTGAACCAATTGGTCTATACTTTTGGAAGGATTCCTACAAGAGATGAATTATATATACATATATATTTTATGAGAACAGTTTCCACAAAATGCTAAAATGAAGAAGAATTCATTTGGTGGATGATTTGGACAGGTTTTGCTACCCAAATGTGGTACCTGCTCTTTTTTAGTTAAAAGAGACTTACATGATTTTTTACCCCCTCTTGAAGGGTATTTTAGAGTTTCTTCAAGTTTCGATTTTGCTCTAAAACTGACATATTCCTGGTGAAAACATTGCTTGCAATTGTATTTTATCTTAATAGTATTTTATTGGTGCCTTATTTTGGATGCTGGAGGACAATATTTGGAAGTCACTGATCATGTGTAGCTGCTTCCACTGCAGATGGAAGATGAAACTAAGAGGTTTAGTCTAAGTTAGAAAAGAAAGTGAGGCATTTCTAGATCTTCTTAGACCACCTTCTTTTTCTCCTGATCTTGTCTGAATAATTGGCCAGGATATAAGCCATGGAGACCTCCATCTCCTTATCCAACTCAAAACAATTTTTCATACACTTTGATTAAAGCTTCTTTCATGATCTCAATCATATTCCACCGAGAAGGAAATCTGACTAGAAAGCTTTGTTCTTGTCTGATGTTAGCATCACCAGAATAGTTGGACAGCATTTCTTTTTACAATGCACAAGGGTATTTTCTTTGACAGTTAAGGTTTAAAAAAGGTTAGCTTTTTTTTGTTACTTAGATTTGGGAGTAAAATCTTTCCAGTCATGTTGCTTAGCTTAAGTGTCCCAGAATATATTGAAACTAGGCTATATAACTAAAAGTTCTTCTCCCATTGATGTTAAATGATCATTCTTAATTGCTTGGAATTTTTAATGGAAGGCAAGATATTAAAATGATAATATATAAGTCAATTCACAGTCTGATGAAGATGGATTAACTTCAAAGGTTGTGACAGAACTAAAATAGGAAAATCTTCTTTTAAATATGTAGAAGCCAAGCTGCCCAAGGATATATAGACAACAGAAAATAAGTAGTTTTCTACAGGGGACCCAACATAGGCCATGTTGGATGTTGGCCTCCATTTTCTATAATGTGTCAGTTCTCTAGTGGTCATCAAGGGATGACCCATGTCATGTAGCCTTGGGGTTACAAAAGAATGAATTACGATTGCAAGGTATAACTAGAACACTGCCAAAAGGCATTATATTCCCCAAGCCAAAAAGACAGACAGAACTGTCTTTGTACTTGCCCTTGAGTATTGACCTCAAATTACATTACATGTCCATGTCTTGCATCAGTTCATCTATAATATGTCCTGTGACATGACATTCTGTCAAAAAATATCACTGAGTTTTTAAAAAAAGACTTCCATCTCTTTAGATACACATCTTATATGCTTATAATACAGAAAAACATACAATAGTTATTTAGTTAGACCAGGCCTGACAGGTTGGCTGCTTGGATTTTATAAATGTTTAATCTCAATTTCTTTAATGAAAAGGAAAATAAATATTTAATATCTATATATTTTTTTTAATTTAATGGAAGTCTATGTAATTGTAAATTATGGGAAAGACTCTCATTATGTCTAAACACGTACGCTTCATTTTATTGTAAATCAATCTAATCTTTTAATCCTTTCTGCTAGATGACATTATAATTAATAATTGTATTCTTCCTCTGCACCAGCCCTGTAGAAATATTTTATAGCCGCTACGGGCAAGCCCTCAACACTATTTCCTATAAAGATGAACAGACTATCCCATGCAGAAATAGTTTGTAGGTATATTAGGTTTTTTTTAAAAAAAATTATTGAAAATTATTAAAAAATACAGAAAAAAAATATAGCAATATGGATAGAAGGTATATTACAGTTTGAAGCATTATGTATATTTAAGTGAAATGTTTCTGTAAGTGGGAATCTGAATTGAGCAATGTTCAGTGGAGATTTTGTACTTCCAAAAGATACAATTATGGTCCTATTAAACCCTCTACTTTGGGTAAGAGGTTTAACATCCATGTCTCAATCATGGGTGTGGAACTCTGATGACGACCTGCTAGGTAAAAAACTATTGTAACAAAAGGCATCCAATCGATTTCAGCAGAAAAAAATTGTACACCATCTATACTATCAAGTTGATGAATATATATCAATGAATTAAAATAGTATGCTGAACAAATAATCTTTCATTAGAAATAATTTAAAATTATGAGAGAAAATCATTCCTGAAATTCAGTAGTTCTGACTTTACTGTTTGAAAATGCTCCTTCGTTAATAATTTTGTCTGAGTACTATAACTATATTAGTCTTAAATCACAGAGAAATTAGATCTGACATTCAGAGTACATTATATAGTTGACTATATAATCACAACTTTTATGATGCCAAAGGGCACTATCTAACTTAACTTTTAATGGCCAAAAGAACAAGAAATGAAAATTGTAACTTGAAGGATAAAATTGTACTCCTACAATAGAAGAAAATTACAGTTCTTAATTCAGAGTCATGAAATATATCTATTGGTACAAATCTTGAATGTAATAATGATGGACAGCATTCACCCTCTTTCTAAAAGATTCCACAGATGTATAGAACTTGCATACAATATATGATGTGTATATATGTATGCATGTATATATGTACATAAATATCTGTATATATGCATATACAGATGTGTGCATATGTATGTATGTGTGTATGTATGTATATACATACACACACACACAGGTGTATGTGTATGTATGTGTATGTATATGTATATACACACACACACACACACATATATATACACATATGCATACACACATACACAAATGTGTGTTTGTGCATATATACATACATTGCACATAAAATTTATGTACACATACACATACACATACAAATACATAAAACACATTATAAATTCATCTTCCCAATTTTTCCCCCTGCAAGTGAAATGCATTCAGGGTTAGCAACCCCACTCTTACTACCTACCAGTGACCTTCAGTCTGTCTGCTCCAATGACAATCTCTTCTTCATCAGCAGAGAAAAGCACTCTACCATCTTCACTTGAGCTAACTTCAAATCTTTTACACTGGGCTTCTACACTTTCAGCACCTAAAAGAGAGAAAACAGATCTTTAGCACATTCTCATAATTTTTCCCAATATTTCTTTTAGATTCAAATTTGAGGGCGGGGCAATTTACATTAATTCTCTATATGAATATCTTTTACAGACTGTGCATGCTGAGAATTATCTTGTACTTGATCTTCCAGGGATAACCAAATTCATTGTTCGATATATGTGACTTAGCTATATGTCATACCAATTTATTAATTACAGTTTTTACATCTACTTCAAACACTAAAAATTATTTCTACATGACATTTCATTCCAAAATTGTAACACAGGATTATTGCACAACAAAAATATGTATATTAAACATCTTGCAACACATTAGTATAGTATAGAGGTTTGTCTGTTAAGCTTAAGAACTGTAATAATATTATTTACTAATATTATTAAATTATCAACTGTACTGTTCTTATTAACTATTATTTTTTGTTAAATTGCTACACACACGCACACATACACACACACACACTTCTCCTTTCAATCTACAGAAATACTGAACAAAATTAATATAATGGCCCAAATAAACATTTATGTTTCAATAATGCATGTTAGTTGTTGAAAGTTAAATACTAGTTATAATCAAAGTCAAATTGTTTACTTTTAATCAATTGCTCATTGAATAATGAGGGTGCTCATTGGACCTTTTAGCGGGCAGGACAATGATCTGGATAAGTTGCCAACAATATTTTTTATTTACTATACCAGTGGTGGGTTGCTCCTGGTTTAGTCCAGATCTATAGTACTGGTAGTAAAACCGGTGGGAGGCTCCACCCACCCACCACAACATCATCCTGGGTGATCTGCGGTCCCGTTGTGAACCAGTAGTAAAGGTAAGTAGAACCCATCCACCCTGTACTATACATATTGAGTACTAACAAATCAGATTTCTCTCTATTTCATGCTGTTAAACCATTTTTTTAACAATTTATTTTATATGCCTCTTTTTAAAATTTACCCTTTAATTGATTTAATATTTTGCAAATAATTTCTATGAAAGGAGAATACACAAATGTTCCTGTTTTTTTCAAAATGAAGTATTCATTATTAAATGGAAATAAAGGAAAGGTGGGAATGTTGCCCTTTTATTTGCTAAGACGTTATTTTAAAGTTTTAAAATTATAAATACAAATAAACCGATATAAATAAATGAGAAATAATATTCAGGGCCATAGCAGAACAAAAATTTGTTAAGATAATTATTCCAAAAAGTTTGGATTTAAAAAAAATTCTTTATGGACTAAGGATTACAATCATTCAGCAATAATCCTACATCCATATCAAAAGGGCAGAGAGGCATAGTATTCCATCTGAAATAGCCAGTGGATTAAAAAATCACTCAACTGGTTTAGACTGGGTTTTGTTGTGGAAGGGGGAAGGGAAATATGGATATCAATTGGGATTTAAAAGTTGAGGAACGATAGAAGTTATGTTTTCATCAACTTTTAATGAAGAAAAGTACACCACCTGGTTTGCTCCTATGAGCTTTTAAATTGGAAAAATTTCTAGTTTTGGAAATTAGGCTACCAAATCCCACATGGCTGATAAAATCCATGTAAGACCACACTTGCCAGGTGAGTTCATGTAGTTGAGGAAATCTAAGGATAAGGGTTCTAGTCATTTGATTTATCGCAAACACTTGTGTTGCATTTCTTTGTACAATGGTTGTAGCCAAGGTTAAAGCTTTAATAAATTGGAACAAGTAAATGTTTTACTTGCACAATTTATTTGCACAAAAATAAACTGAAGCAAGTAAATGTTTTATTGGCACAAAGCTAGCTGGGTGACCTTGGCTGCTCACTTTCAGCCCTACAAATGAAGCAATGGCAATCTACTTGTGAAAAACCTTGCTAAAAAAGCTGCAGGGAATTGTCCAGGCATTCTCTGAGAATCAGTCACAATTGAATGAAAAAAAAAAGTGTTAAGGTTCCCCCCCCCCAAGAGAATATCATCAAGGATAATGCAATGCATAGTAACACAAAGAAGAATGTTACTTCTCTCCATGTTGTCTGTTGGAGACTATGATTTCTGATGCACCCCCTTCTGCCCATCACTTAAAAATAACTGTTTAACTACACTGCTCAAAAAATAAATAAAGGGAACACAAGCAGAAGACATCCGAGATCTGAATGAATGAAATAGCCTTATTAAATACTTTGTTTGTTACATACAGTAGTTTTGTGTTCCCTTTAGTTGTTTGAGCAGTATATAAACTACTATATGTAAAGAACAAAGTATTTAATAAGGCTATTTCATTCATTCAGATCTCGGATGTCTTCTGCTTGTGTTCCCTTTATTTTTTTGAGCAGTATATATTGATTGCTTTTAGGCAACAAGCAAAATTTTGTATCCCTGCATCCACTGAAGAAAAGCCAGACCTATAGAATCCATGTAGATGTCAGTGAGAGACTGGTGAGGGAGAGAGTCAAGTGGGGAATTAATTTAAATTCTTTTTGTCATACAAATGATGAAGTCCAACCCTCATGAATGCGGTTGAACTTTACCTAGTTTTACTCAGATGCAAACAGTTAGTGAAGCTTCCTATGTATAGGCTTGAGTGATAAACCGCTAAATTGGAACCTTTACATGTGGGTTTCATTGTTCATGACTGACAGCAATTGCTATTAAAGACACAGGAGCTTAATTTCAAACAGAAAATACTTTGAATCACCTCCTCACAGAATTTCTTTCTAATCCAGAAAAATAATCCAATTTATTTGGGATAAGAATCCCATTCAGTGAAATTAAGAGATACCAATTTCTGTCTATAAGTATGTGTGTGCAGGTGCTAAATGGGACTTCATCTAATGGTTCCAAAGAGGATCCTGCAATAATTTTATCTTGATAAAACAAAAACATTTTTGCCTCTTTAACGTAACCTAATTATATTTCATTAACTCTAATCTGGGATAGTTCTTTGTCTATGGCATTCAGAAATAGGAATATAGAGTTTATTTTTCCTTGTTGGAGAATGGACTACAAACAGTCCTCTCATTTCCATCTCTTATTAGATAACATTTCAGATCACAACTGCAGTTAGAACTGGAGTCATGGAAAAAGGAGTTTATTTGCAAACAAATAAGAGGTAGTGTATGTCCTACAGCCAGTTTGATGTAGTGATTAAAGTGCTGGTCTAGGAGCCAGGAGATGGTGACTTCTAGCCCCACTTTAGGCATGAAAACTGGCTGGGTGACTTTGGGCCAGTGACTTTTTCTGGGATTGTTCACTTTCTCTGGGATTGTTGTGGCGAAAAAGAGGAGGAGAAAGAGTAATAAATATGTTCATCTCCTTGAGTTACTTATAAAATAAGGATGGGATAAAATTCAAACAAACAAAGAAACCTGTGAATGTAAACATGTATATCCATGCATTCAATAATCAGGAGGAAAAAAAATGCCAAGCCATTTTTAATAAATATATACCTAAGAAAGAAAATGAAATGACAGATCAATCAAAAAAGAACTTTCAAACTCCATTGCTTCAAATGCATTACAAGCTAGCAAAACAAATCAACAGTAACATTGCACCAGATACTATCTTCCCCCCCCCCAAAAAAAAGACAAGAAAAAGGATGGGATGGGATTTTTGCATGTTTAGATTATCTCCTTAGACATTGTTATCTGAAGTGAGAAATAGATTTAAATTTGACACAATTTAAAAGAATGAACATAAAAGAGAAGTAATAGGAACTTTAAATCAAAAACGAAGATGTAAAACTGAAAGTGTGTTACAAAAGGGGAAGTGAGAGCACACTAATCAAGAAACTGCCATTTCTATTTAAAGACCAACAAATTTCTCTGTAGGCTTAATGAACTGAGAACTGTCAAGTAATTCCAAGTTTGAGGCATGTTAAACATGACTTATCTCAGTGCCAGTTCACCATCACACAGGCCAGCCTTTCCTAAAATTGTAGCCTATTTTCTAAAACAGAGATTGGGAACCTTGATTCTATGGAACCAAGACAACCTGGGAGATTCTCCCCAATCCTGCCAAATGTCAGCTAGATTCCTTTCTTCACAATGCTTCTTTCTCACCCTCCAGTTGTACAGGAATGAAAAGGAAATCATTTTTTCAATGCAGATAGCCAGGAAATAATCTGTAGGATTGAGGAACGTTTTACCTCTCTATTCTAAAGTGTAATCATGTAAAGAAACTTGTGTGGTGTTCAGTAACACTAGAGGATGAAAAATCATTTATATTTTTGTGAATGCTTAGCAGATAATCTACTACAGAAAAGGATTTAGAAAATGTTCTTCTTATCTTGGTTCATTTCACGGAGTTTGGAATGATCTGGAACTCTATATTTCTTTTGCAGCAAGAAAAGCACCAGGTCATGCAAGATCCAGCTAAGAGGTTTGGGTAGACAGCAGGATCAATAATTATTACTTTTAATCTCTTCCTTCTCCTCCTTTTCCACTCCTACTTTTCATCATTGAGTTCAAAGTGAAGATTGATTTTATTCCTATACCTAAAAAACCTGATGTGCCAAGTCACTCAATAAATCATGACCATGGATGGGTAGACTTGAATCTAGTCTCCTAGACATGAGACCCACAATTTACTTGCCTCTCTCTAAGATCTCTTTTCCCTTTTCTTTAAAAATTGAAAAGGAAAAGAGGAGTTGGTAAGGACTTCCCCCAATTTCACAAAAGTTATGAACTTTGAGGATACTTTGTGAAAATAATTCCACCCAAAAAAGATTTAGGAACTGACAATGCTAAAACGAGCGGAGAGAAGACAAAGTACACTTGTTACTAAAATTTTGCTGATCTGTTTGAGTTCTATGAAACAGGAGATTGATCTGAAAGAGTTTGGCAATTTTTATTGTTGGAATTAATATCTGACTCCTTTTATGTTGTGGAATTATAAAACTAGAACATTAGGGTCTGTGGGATTTGTATGTGAAAAAGTCAAGATAATGGACATGGCAACATGAACAAAACCCCTCCACTGCATACGTGTAATATTGACACACACACATATA